AGATTATTGGCGTCGCAGAGCTTTCGGATCTCGCCAGCTACAGAGATGATCTCGGCGAAGTTCTCCGAGGCGACCTGGTGGCCGAGGGTTCGTGAGCCATAGTCGATGATATCGGGGAATGATAGCTCGATGCCTGTGAAGCCGGCTTTGCTGATGGCTTCGAGCTTCCGGGGGAGGGTGTCGGCGTTGCTGCTACCGATCGAGCAGGTGGCATATGACAGAGGGATGTTGCGGAGGGATTCGTATGTGATAGTTGGGGCTGATGCGATCATGATGTTTATTAGAGTCTTGTATATGTCGTTACTATTGGAATAAGGCTGGAAATACAGTAATAGAGCCGGCCAGATGCAAATCACCAGAAGGAAATCAATACAAAAACATAAGTAAACCCATACAAATCAGGAGAGCAATGATAAGTTGATATCATGTGTTTCTGGAATCGAAGCTGTCCGAGACGATGATGTAACCATGAGATCGGATGAATTAGGGCAAAAGAACATCTGTAACAGAACATCCGGCAGCGTCGGAGTCGGTTTCCGACGCATGGACAATCCACATTCGCAGAGAAAATGACATTGTGCATTATGGACTTCCTGATATCGAATCAGACCACATAATAGACTACCTTTCTCCTCGGAGACGCACCGAAAGGCAGGATTATGACGTCTCCGCCGTGATGTAATTCCAGCGTACGTTTCTTCAGGCCGGATGCGCTGTCCGATTGCCACTGGATCTTCGTTCAATAAGAGATGTTGATCCATGTAAAGTAAGCGATCTTTCTATCTTCATTTTCTCGATGCTTGACTGGAATTTTCCAATCCCCCTTGTATAGAAAACCAGATCGACCAAGGTAGAAGTATACTGTGGACGCCGCCATGCCATCATCACAAGACCCAATTCAGAGATTCAAGCGCATCGGCATTGTCGGAGCGGGGAATATGGGCTCGATGATGACCTTTGCTTTCTCGGAGCTGGGTTGCGATGTCTCGGTATGGGATGTGGACCCAAAGAATGTCGATTCGGTAATGAAGTTCGCCAAAGATGCGCAGCATCTGAAGGGCAAGATCGACGGGTACTACAACATTGATGAGTTTACTAAGAGCCTGGAGGGCAAGGCGGAGCGGAAATTATTCATCTTTTCCATCACACATGGTCACCCGGCAGACTCCGTACTGGGGATGATCAAGCATGACTTGAAGTCCGGCGACATCATCCTCGACGGAGGAAATGAAAACTACCGACGGACAGAGAGAAGACAGAGAGAGTGCGCTGAGATTGGGGTTCACTGGATCGGAATGGGTGTCTCTGGAGGTTACCAGTCCGCTCGACACGGGCCCAGCTTGTCGCCTGGTGGAGATGCCAAAGCACTCGAGCTCGTCATGCCGCTTCTGGAGCTCTACTCCGCCAAAGATCGCAAGACAGGCAAGCCATGTGTCACACGAATTGGCCCTGCAGGCTCGGGACACTACGTCAAGATGGTTCACAACGGTATTGAAGGAGGCATGCTCTCGACACTCGCAGAGGCATGGTCCATCCTCCACAACGGGTTAGGGCTCAACTATGATGAGATTGGCGATCTCTTCTCCAAGTGGAATTCAGACGGCGAGCTCAAGAACAACTATCTCCTTCAGATCGGCGCAGATATGTTGCACAGGAAGAAGACACCTCAAGGTGACTACCACGGCGAAGGCGCTAGCAAAGATGACGGCTATGTACTTGACGACGTGCTTGACAAGGTGGTCCAAGACGATGACAACACCGAGGGAACTCCGTACTGGTCGATTATGGAGTCAGCTGAGCGTCACGTCGCGGCGCCCACTCTTGCCACAGCGCACTATCTGCGTGTGGCCAGCGGGAATCGTGAAGAGAGAGTCCGAGTCGCGAAGAAGCTTCATATCCCCAGCCCCAAGCCAATCGAGACGATCAAAGATCGCAATGCGTTCATTGAGAATTTGCGCCGAGCAGTGTACTGCTCCTTTTTGGCCTCATTCTGCCAGGGTCTCGAATTGATATCGCGCGCTTCCGAGGACGAAAAATGGGACATTGATCTCGGCAGGTGCCTTCAGATCTGGCGAGCCGGTTGCATCATCCAGTCCGAAGCCATCGCAGACCTCTTGCAGCCCGCCCTGACATCCAACAAGCGACTCAGCAATATGAAATTCGTGGACGAGGTCGCCCGAGAACTGCACAAGAATTTTGACGCCCTCAAAGAGATCGTGATTGAAGGAATCCTGTCTGATCAGTACATGCCGGCTTTGTCTGCCACGTTAGAGTACTTGAAGTATGAAGGAGGAACGATGCTACCGACCAAATTTATGGAGGCGCAGATGGACTACTTTGGCGCTCATGCGTACAACAAGCCCGGTGTGCCAGGTGAAGACCCAGGTCCAGTCAAGAAGGGTCCCCATCATTATGAATGGAAGCCAGCATAAAGTCTCCAGTTGGCGCGAGCTTTGATTTTAACCGTGTTGTTATAAATTGCATCTGTGCATATGTAGAACGAATGGAAAATGTGTTGATGCCTTTCGTCGATGAATTTGCATAAGACCGAGCTCTGTAGATGTAAATCGGCGGTCAACCATAAACTGATACAGGTCTTGCCTTGCCTTAGTGATTGATTGCCAGCACATCTCATCTGAACCAAGGGCGGATGGGTGAAGCTTGAAAAAGGAAATGGCCGATCGTCCGGGATTGATAGCCTGTTGATACCTGTTGATGCCTACTGGTGCCTACTCGTGCCTTGGTGCCTGAGATCGGCACCACGTGGGGTCGCGATAAGCGGATCGCCCAATCGGGATGACGACCCCGCCAAGGGGCAGAAGTTTTCAAGTCCGAATACCCCTCTTAGCAGTAGTAAGCTGCGTCTATATCAATCCTTCCTCGTGCTGCTTTTTATGCTTGGATTCTCTTCTCTTCGACGATACCTGTCAAACTTTACCACAAGACCACTCCGAAGAATCGAGTCTGCAAAGCAGCTAGCAAGAAGAATGGCCGTTCTCCCCAATACCTACAACGGTGAGTGCGCCAGACTATCATAGACCCGCAAGCTGAAAAGACGAATCTAATCCTTGGTGAATATAGAGCCTGTGCGTATCGCCGTTATTGGTGGTACTGGTCTGCGCGAGCTCCCCGGCTTCACACAGGTTGCCTCGTTATCGATCACCACGCCCTGGGGCAACCCCTCCTCTCCGATCACGATCCTGCACCACAACTGCTCTCACAACAACAAGACCGTTGCCGTTGCTTTCCTCAGCCGACACGGTGCTCACCACCAGATTGCACCTCATGAGGTCCCGGCGCGCGCCAACATTGCTGCTCTGCGCTCGATTGGCGTCCGCACCATCATCGCCTTCTCCGCCGTCGGAAGCTTGCGGGAGGAAATTAAGCCCCGCGATTTCGTCATTCCCGACCAGGTCATTGATCGCACCAAGGGTGTGCGCCCATGGACTTTCTTCGAGGGAGGTGTGGTCGCGCACGTTCCGTTCGGCGACCCTTTCGACGAGGGTGTCGCGAAGGTTGTGCGAGCCTGCGGTCACAGTCTGGAGGGCGAGGGTGTCGTCCTTCACGACCGAGGTACTCTGATTTGCATGGGTACGTCATTAGTTCTTCGCTGTCGTTGCTTTTGAGACACTGACTGACCGTCTTGCAATGACAGAGGGACCTCAATTCTCTACCCGCGCAGAGAGCAACCTTTACCGGTCCTGGGGCGGCAGCGTCATCAACATGTCGTGCCTGCCTGAGGCTAAGCTTGCTCGTGAGGCTGAAATCGCCTACCAGATGATCTGCATGTCCACCGACTATGACTGCTGGCACGAGTCGACAGCCGATGTCACTGTGGAGATGGTCATGAGCCACATGAAGGCCAATGCTCAGAATGCCAGACGCTTTGTCACAGCCGTCCTCGACGCTCTGGCCAGCGATGAGCACTCTGACCTCGTTCAGGCCAAGCACGTTGAGGGCTCCATCAAGTTTGGTCTCAGCACCGCCCAGGCCAACTGGAGCCCTGAGGCTCGGGAGAAGCTGGAATGGCTTTTCCCTGGTTACTGGAACTAAGCTCTCAATTTTCTTTTCTTCCTGAGACGATAGATACGATGCTTCAACACATTGGTATTATGTAGATCTACTGCCCTGGCATAGACGTTTATACTTGGTTACGAACTTATGAGGATTGAACTTTAATATCGTGGTACATATTCTTCACATTACAAATATGTATTTACTGAAAACAGTCTGGACTATTCCCAACCCATTGGAACCTCCACGCTATAACCAGCAACCATGAACGTCCATTGCATTCTAGCCTGAGAAGCGATGCATGTGCACCTATTATTAGGCCTAGCCTTACTCACTATCTCTCTGTATTAGCTACTACGCATATTTTATGCAATGATGATGATGACGGCTCGAATCGACCCCTCAATTAACAGTTTAACGGCTTAACCGGCACCGTACAGCCTACTCCACACCTCGGCCTCGTATTATTGATTAAACTGATCGGCGTTATTGGTTATGCTACTACCTGATTATCCTAATTTGGATACTATCTAGAGAGATATAAACATGCTAATAGCGGGAGGACTTGGCATTCCAATCCCCAGCAGCGGAGGGTCCAGCACGTGGGTCTTAGTTCCTGAACGCCAAGGCAGCCAAGCACTTGGGTTTCAGCCAGAGGCAAAGCTTCGTGGTCCAGCATGCTTTGGCTTCTGTTTGCTATTTGTCGCCGGTGCAATGGGCATTCCAAGTCCAGAATGACGTTTATGCAGTTGTACTCTCGAATGACGAGGTCACCTTTGATTACGATGCCGTCAACCTTGACATTACGCCCTTGGCCGCTGCTTCCTGGCCGTGCAATTGTTGGTTCCCCAAGACAGGGAATGCAAACGATCTGCAGAATTCCTCGCTATCTTAGCTCAATATGGATACTATAAAATGGCCCTCACTCAGGCTGTCTTGTCTGGTCTCCTCTGAGCAGACAATCTCTCAGAACTGGCAAAGACACCATGTGGTACTCGTTGTCTCTACTGTTGTTGACGGCCTCGACTGCCACCGCTAGCTATGCGGGCAATCTCAACTACCGCAGTCCCTCTTACAACCACCCTGAATTGGGGGTTTCGATCCGCAAGGTAGCCAAGCGGGGTGAGCCGACATCGGCCTTTGATCCTGCTAAATTGAACTTTACCCACGGTGTTGCTTCAGGTGATCCCTATGCTGAGTCGGTCATCTTGTGGACACGATGTGCCCCCAGCTTTGATGATGTCAATGACAACAGTACTACATCTGGACTGGTTCCTCTGTACAACCCAGTGCCTATCTACTCGGGCAAGCACAAGAGCCAGCCAGTCTCCAAGGCGCCCGTCTGCTTGAACTACAAGGTTTCTCGTGATGCTGGCATGAAGAAAGTTGTCTCGGAGGGTACCGCATTTACCAGCTCTGATATTGACTACACTGTCAAGGTTAGCACAAGCATATCATTCTTTGAGCGACGCTTCATGCTTACTTATGATAGGTCGAGGCAACCAAGTTGAAGCCGTTTACCACATACTATTATCAGTTCAACGTGTGCAACTCGGACAACAAGAGTCCCATTGGACGGACCAAGACTGCTCCTGCACCTAAGGATGATGTTAACAACATCAACCTGGCTGTGTACTCCTGCAGTAACTATCGTACGTCCTCGTTGCTACTTCTTGACTGTGTATCTCTTTGCTAATGAGTCCATAGCTTTTGGCTTCTTCAACGGTTATGGAAACCCTGTGAGGAAGGACTCTGTGGACTACGTTGTGCATCTGGGGTAAGACCAGAAGATTTAAGATGATTCTGGGACAATACCAGGCTGACTTGAATAGTGACTACATCTACGAATATGGAAACGGCGAATAGTATGGATCTTCCACTCCATCCATTCCATAAAGCCAGCAAACTGACCGTATTATGCAGTGGCTGGGGCAACAGTTTGGGACGCATTCCTCAACCGGACCGAACCATTTTCTCTCTCTACGATTACCGCAAGCGCTTGGCAACTTATAGAACCGATTTGGATCTTCAGTTGAGCCATCAGAACTATGCTTGGATTCCAGTTTGGGATGACCACGGTAGGTCCTCCTGCAACTTATTTGGACCTGACATCCTGACTAGAACAGAGGTTTCTGACAACACTTATCGCGACGGATCCTCCAAGCTCCACAACGATGAGGAGTCCTTCCTCACGCATGGAGGAGTGTCGGTTGATCAACGCAAGATGAACGCCGTTCGTGCCTATTTTGAATGGATGCCAATCCGGTCAGCCTCTAATAGTACTCTCTTTCTCCCGCAATAACTAACTTGCGCAGACAAGTTGAGATGGATGACAACCTTCGTATCTGGAGAAACTTTCAGCTCGGTTCTCTCGTTGACCTTATCATGCTGGACACCAGGCAGTATGATCGCTCTATCACCGACACCTACGACAATACCGACTATATCTATGAGATCGCCAACGACGCTGGTCGAACCCTGATGGGTAGTCGCCAGGAGAACTGGTTCTACCGCAATTTGATCGATTCGGCTAAGCGAGGTGCCCACTGGCGCATTATTGGTAGCCAGATTAGTATGTCCCCTTGATGTTTTGATTCCAGGATGAGGACTAACACGAGTAGTCTTCTCTCGGCTCAACCAGTCCATTGCCAACAGTGAACATCCTCTGAACGTCGACGCGTGGGATGGATATCTGGCCAACAAGAACCGCACACTCCAAACCCTCTACGACAATCAGATTGGCAACAATATCATGATTGCCGGAGACTCTCATGCAAACTGGGTGAGCGACGTGGCCTGGATCGATAACAAGCCGTACGATCCCAAGACCGGCGCCGGCGCCATTGGTGTTGAATTTGCCGGTACTGCACTCACCTCCCCCTCGCCATACGGACAGAACATTACGATTGCCGATGCCAACAAGGCCTCCAAGGCTCTTGTCACTGACAATGAAGAGCTTCACTGGTCGGAGCTCTACTACCGCGGATACTTTGAGCTCCATATCACGCCTAAGGAGGTAGAAGCCCGCTTCTTCGGTCTACCCAACATCAAGGAGCGTCACGGCGAGGAGATTTCCCTTGCCAACTTCACCGTCAAGAGCGGTGCCAATCATCTGGAACGCAACTCCAACGGCGTGGTGGGCGGAGGCACTGTGGCCAACGGATGGCTCAAGAATGGGCAGCTGGTTCCTACCAACCAGACGAATAACACTTATGGCCGGTAGGCTGAAAAAGAGTATGTAATCAAACTACTTATGCAGAATGACCTTTTTCACAATGATTTGGTGGTATGTTTCTCCGGTGATTCAGACCGTCCCTGTGGCTTGTTTCTGCACTAAAAGATTACACTTTAATGGCATGAAATATTATGAGGATGATTACTCCGTACCCTAAAAGGATTCCTGAAACCGCCGAGTCAATATGCTGCTGTCTTTGGGTGAGTGGAAAGCTTTCAACATGGCGTAACAGGCGAGATGAGCCTGTAGAACTGGCCATTCAGCAGGTGGAAGCATATAGAAACCCAATTCAACCATGTACCATCAAGTGCCCAGGAAACAGTTGAGAATTAGGATGAGTCGGCTCAAAATACTTGTCTTTGTCATAATATATATCAGCTGATTGGCAGAGATTGGGCCCTTGCTCTTACGGTATCATGATATGGCACACGTCACATATGACCAGGTAGAAAGAGACAGTTGATGCATGCTCAAAGAATAACGGATCATGCTCTCTTTTCCTTACGAAGCCGTGATCAACACGGAGCCCCTGAATATCTTACTCAAATCCCCCATCTCCACGTCAGACGGCGCCAACGCGGGGAAATGATCGTCAGGTTCTTCTTTAACCGAGGGATCAGCACTCCGGATCAAGGTTCGTAGTACGCAACATTTACTCCACTTGTTAAAGCTGAACTCCCTGGAGTGATGGAAAAAATGGAAAAACTCACTCGAGATCTGCAAGATTGTCCTCGTGGAGAATGAGATGGAACAATGGAACACATTGCCGAGGATCGAGTCTGGCATGTGGGGTAAACAGACGGCACTGGACTGAATTTCCTGCAGCCCCATCCACTACTGCAGAACAGGAATGCAGGACGAATGGGTCTCATGATGAATCATGGCCGCGAGTCAGCCTTGCTCTTGCAGTGAAGATCGTCAACCACTAGACTATAACCGGCCTCGTTTGGAAACGGACGAACCGCGCCGTCTTGGCTACTGACGCCAGCTTGCGCAGTCGTCCAGTGAGATGCGGCAGATTGCAATACCACCATGCTTTTTATCCGGATCCCCATGCGAGAGGGCACATGCCACATTCTTCAAGGGGTGAAGAGTCAGAATTAGGCAAACACTCCGAATCGAGGGCTTGGCCCGGTACTCCGGTTGATCTGATTCTATGCACGATGACATGACTTGATGGACGAGAGGCCCTTGGCGAGCTGGCTTGCTCTGCTGCCTGCATATTCCTTCCCCGCTTTGATATGGACGGACTGGATGGTGTGATATATCTAGGACCTGCTGCTCGATTGCGCCGCGTGGCCCGATATCTGCCTCTGGTTCCGATCGCAGTCTGCAAGCGGGTTTTGATACGACAGCTCGACTACGGCTATGTGTGTGGTTAGCAACTGGGATTGACCTTGAGCAGTTGCCGAAGCATATACCGCTAAATCCGGGAGATTTCTCGCCTGCACAGCCATGCGCGTGCTTTCAGATCTGGCCTTTGTGGCTTCACTGGTGCCATTGGCACTTTCGGCTCCTACCTCTGAGTCTCGGGTTTCCGCTCAGCTGGAATCACGAGACGCTGCTGGATACTCCTCGCCGCCGTACTACCCTGCCCCTAATGGAGGATGGCTATCCAGCTGGGCAGAGGCTTACGAAAAGGCCCAGAGGGTCGTGAGAAACATGACCTTGGCCGAAAAGGTGAATCTGACCACCGGGACGGGCATCTTCATGGGCCCTTGTGTTGGCCAGACGGGGAGTGCGCTGCGATTCGGGATCCCTAACCTCTGTCTTCAAGATTCTCCTTTAGGGGTGCGTAACTCCGACCACAACACCGCATTTCCGGCCGGCATCACTGTCGGCGCGACCTTTGACAAGGACCTCATGTACGATCGCGGTGTGGAACTGGGAGAGGAGTTCCGCGGAAAGGGAATTAACGTGCTTCTTGGGCCGTCAGTCGGCCCGATAGGGCGCAAGCCGAGAGGAGGCCGCAACTGGGAAGGCTTCGGCGCGGATCCCAGTCTGCAGGCGATTGGCGGTGCGCAGACGATCAAGGGAATCCAGAGCCGGGGTGTTATCGCTACGATCAAGCACTATATCGGCAACGAGCAAGAGATGTACCGGATGAGTAACATAGGCCAAAGGGCATACTCGTCCAATATCGACGATCGGACGCTCCACGAACTCTACCTTTGGCCATTTGCAGAGGGGGTGAGAGCCGGGGTTGGCGCCGTCATGACTGCGTACAATGAGGTGAGTGTCTCCACGCGTGCTCTAGCGTCAAGCCAGCTGATGAGTTGGACGACAGGTGAACAGTTCGGCGTGCAGTCAGAACAGCAAGCTGCTCAATGAAATTCTGAAAGATGAGCTAGGGTTCCAGGGTTTCGTCATGACCGACTGGCTTGGGCAGTATGGCGGAGTCTCATCGGCCCTGGCCGGTCTGGATATGGCCATGCCCGGCGACGGTGCTATACCGCTTTTAGGCAATGCTTATTGGGGATCTGAGCTCTCGCGCTCTATTCTAAATGGCTCTGTCCCGGTTTCGCGTCTGAACGATATGGTAAGTTTTTATGTCGTGTCTGTTCGGTTCAGATGCTGATCATCATCAGGTCACTAGGATCGTGGCAACATGGTACAAGATGGGCCAGGATGGAGACTATCCGCTGCCCAACTTCTCGACCAACACTCAAGATGCGACGGGGCCTTTGTACCCAGGCGCTCTTTTCTCGCCATCTGGCGTTGTCAATCAGTATGTCAACGTGCAGGCCGATCACAACATCACTGCGAGAGCAATTGCCAGAGATGCCATCACTTTGCTAAAGAATGATGACAATATTCTCCCATTGAAGAAGAACGACTCTCTAAAGGTTTTTGGGACAGATGCCGGCCCTAACTCCGGCGGTCTCAACTCCTGCGCTGATATGGGATGCAACAAAGGGGTGTTGACCATGGGCTGGGGCAGTGGCACGTCCAGGCTTCCGTACTTGGTCACTCCACAGCAAGCCATTGCCAACATCTCGTCCAACGCTGCCTTCTATATCACCGATAATTTTCCCTCTAACGTTGCGGTAAGCTCAGGTGATATCGCCGTGGTACTCATCAGTGCCGACTCCGGAGAGAACTATATCACCGTCGAAGACAACCCAGGGGACCGGACCTCGGCGGGGCTGAACGCATGGCACAACGGCGACAAGCTCGTCAAGGATGCAGCTGCAAAGTTCTCCAAAGTCGTCGTGGTCATCCACACCGTGGGCCCTATCCTCATGGAGGAATGGATCGACCTGCCTTCTGTAAAGGCCGTCCTTGTCGCGCACCTCCCCGGACAGGAGGCCGGCTGGTCCCTGACGGACATCCTCTTTGGCGACTACAGCCCCAGCGGCCATCTCCCATACACCATCCCACGCGCCGAATCCGACTACCCCTCCAGCGTGAGTCTCCTCTCGCAGCCCATCGTCCAGATCCAGGACACCTTCACCGAGGGCCTGTACATCGACTACCGCCACTTCCTCAAAGCCAACATCACCCCGCGCTATCCTTTCGGGCACGGGCTGTCCTACACTACGTTCAGCTTCTCGCAGCCTACAGTGACCACACGCACCGCACTCGACAGCGCCTACCCGCCCACTCGCGCCCCCAAAGGCCCAACCCCAACCTACCCCACCACCATCCCCAACCCCTCTGAAGTCGCCTGGCCCAAGAACTTCGACCGCATCTGGCGCTATCTCTACCCATACCTCGACGACCCCGCCGGCGCCGCAAAGAACTCCAGCAAGACATACCCCTACCCGACAGGGTACACGACCGACCCCAAGCCGGCCCCGCGCGCCGGCGGCGCAGAAGGAGGCAACCCAGCCCTCTTCAACGTGGCTTTCGCCGTCAGCATCACGGTCACAAACACCGGCACCCGGCCCGGCCGCGCGGTCGCGCAACTCTACGTTGAACTACCCGATAGTCTGGGCGAGACGCCCTCCCGCCAGCTGCGGCAGTTCGCGAAGACGAAGACGCTAGCCCCCGGGGCCAGCGAGACCTTGACCATGGAGATCACCCGCAAGGATCTCAGTGTTTGGGATGTGGTGGTGCAGGACTGGAAGGCGCCGGTTCGGGGCGAGGGAGTGAAGATCTGGCTTGGGGAGAGTGTGTTGGATCTGCGGGCTGTGTGTGAGATTGGAGGTGCTTGCAGGGTTATATAATCTTACTTTGGTCTATATACCTTGAATCCTGCACGTCTGTTTTCATAGTACGTGCTGCATAATTTGCACAAGGCGAATTGTTATGTAATTGCTGACTAATGCACAACTATACTTTGCCTCGCCGCTTCTCCATCTCCATCTCCATTGTGGTCACTTTCTCCCCACTACGGTATTATCCATCAAGGACAACCACCGGTCGATCGATCAGTCCCTCGACCGAGTCTGTCCTGGCCGGCAACCTATTCTGAAATGTGATATACGCCCTCGTCCTAACGGATACTACCCAAAATGCAGGGCTTCAGTGAGTACTCCCCCCCTCTACACCCACCGTTATCACGCGGGGTATAACTAACAATTATGTATAGACATGGGACGGTCCGTCGCCTCCCCTAGCTACCTAACTTCCCACCGAAATTGTAACTAACTACTGGCAACAGCTACGTCCCCCCGGACCAAGAGGGCCTCACAACCGGCAACAAACTAGCCGGCAAGCACCCACTAGGCGCACGCGCACGCCATCTCCGCACAAGCGGCGCGCTCATCGTACGCTTCGAGATGCCCTTCGCGGTATGGTGCACGACATGCAAACCGCACGAGACGCTCATCGGGCAAGGGGTGCGGTTCAACGCCGAGAAAAAGAAGGTCGGGAACTACTACTCGACGCCGGTGTATAGTTTTCGGATGAAGCATGGGGCGTGCGGGGGGTGGATTGAGATTCGGACGGATCCGGCGAATACGGCGTATGTTGTTGTTGAGGGTGGGAGGAAGCGGGATACCGGGGATGCAGGCGGGATAGGAGAGATTGCGGTGGGGGAGGATAGCAAGGTGAAGGAGGATGCGTTTGCGAGACTGGAGGGGAAGGTGGAGGATAAGCGGCGGGCGGAGACGGAGAGGTCGCGGATTGAGGATTTGCAGAGGCGACAGAATAAAGACTGGGAGGATCCGTATGAGAGGTCGAGACGATTGCGGAGGACGTTCCGGGTGGAACGGAAGGCGCGCGAGGGGGTGGAAGCGAAGGCCGAGGCGCTGAGGGATAAGATGAGCTTGGGAATCGAGCTTGTGGAGGAGACGGAGGAGGATAGCCTGCGGGCGGGCATGGTGGATTTCGGGCGAGGGGATGATACAACCCAAATCATGCGTCGGCGGCCGTTGTTCGACTCGCGGAATGGGAAACGAGAGGTCGCAAATACGCTGGCTGATCGCAAGGCGCTGCTTCGCAGTGAGTTGACGGGGAATACCCGGGCAGCGGTCGATCCGTTTCTCAACCAGGATGGGAGTGCATGGCGGCCAGAGGTCAAGAGGAGAAAGACGGCATCGACGAAAGGCGGGGATATCGCTAATGATGGACCAGTCGCTGTCAAAGCCCCTATCGAGCCTGTGATATCGGTTGCACCGCCTGCGTTGGTCAACTATGCGTCTGACAGTGACTAAGTGACGACTGGATGATGATTCTTTCTGTATTTCTACGGCGTTTGCTTGCGTGATACCCGGCGGAGTTCGCCTCAGATACATGGTTTGGACTTGCTTCAGAATTGACGGATTTCACTTTTGATAAACGTAAAAGGGTATAGAACAAGAGATGAAGATTACGTATTTTGATTTGCGGTTAGTTACTTCGCCCAGGGAGCTTTGGTGGGAGCTTGACTTGGATCACCGCCAGGTGCCTGCCCGGCTGACGATGCCGCCCACGGAGCTCTGGTTGGGGCCATAGGCCCAGGAGGTAGTCGTGACGTATCAGGAAGGGTAGTAGGTGGTTCTCCGGGCGGACATCCGTCTCTCCTTGCTGCCCATGGCGCGGCGGTTCCTGCTCCAACCGGCGGGGCTGCCTGAGTACCAGTTGCCCAGGGTGCCTTGGTCCCGGACGGCGGCATCTGTCCTGCAGATGGGACTGCCGGCCCCCTAGACTGAGTCTGGGCGGTAGATGTATGAGCGGACGCCGGGGGCGGGACGGCATTGGGATCCCGATCCCAGCTGAACAGGGAGCCAAAGGGGAAGTGCTGCACTACGGGGAACTTGGATAGGACTTCCGCGTTGTACATTTTGATCATACCCTGGATAGTAAGCACTCGGTCAGTTCGAGCAAACCCAGGAGACTCACTTTGTTGATTTTCCCCCAACCAGCCTGAATGCCGGAAATGTCGTAGAGCATAGGGCTGTGTTCCCAGAATGGCCCTTTCTTGACGTCGTAAATGAAGCCAATCGCGGAGAAATACATATTCGTCAACCTTTCTCGTTCGACAATATGTGCTTTGGTGACGCCATTGGGCGATGGAGCACCTGGAAGCGAGCCTTCTTCAGGAGTTGGATCTGTTTCTGAAATGGCAGGCGCCAGTTGTGCGGATCCCAGAATGTACGGAATGAAGGAATGGTCGTCCAATCCCCAGACGCCGTGAGACCCTGCCGGTTCGAGCGTGTACCGCTTGATAATGGTTCGCACCAGCTCTAGATATCTGCGAGAAGTTAGTAATTGCAGTCGCCACCCTTGGGCCGTACCTACGGCTGTATAACCCCCAAGACGATAGCTCTCTCCTCCACCCCCGGAGTTGTCTTCGGAAACCCATTCAGCTTCCATATCCCAGCCAAGAAAGCCAGAAAGCTCAGCTCATGTCCAGTCCCATAGTCCAGCCTCTGTGGGCTCCCCCAGCTGCCTAAAAAGTACGCTTTGAGCTCCACCTCCGCCGTCACACCGTCAGGATTCGACGATCTGGCCTGCAGCAGCTCGGATGACAAACACTCCCCCAGTAGCTTTGAGGCTCGGCTCTCCACGAGCTCGTACCACCTGCGGAAACTGATATTCCCAAACCTCCGCGGACCAGTATCAGGCGGCGCCTCTTCGAGAAGTTCCTCCAGTTTTGTCAGGAGCTGCTGGAGCTGCCGTACAGGCGCGGAGAACTCGACGGCGTCTGTGTTGATCGGCCAGGATTGTACAGTGCCGTCGGCAAGTTTGACGGGGAGCATGGCCCGGTTGAGCTGCAGGAGGAAGGTCATGATATCGACGTAGGCTTTGGAGACGAGGAACTCTGATACATCTTGAGATTCGTGGATTCTCTTGCTGGGGGTGATGAAGGTGTGCCCCGCAGAGGGGTCGATGGTTGGTAGAACCCGAAGGGGGAAATTGTTTGCCATGATTATTTTAGCTATAAAATTATATCAAGAGTAATTCTGGAGGCCGGTAAAAATATGGATGAAAAAGGGAGTTTGGATGGTTGAAGGTGGTGTTGGGGGAGGACTGTATGTAGGTCGATCATATGGCGATGACGCTGATCCGCCGGACAACACTGGACCTCCGCAAAAACAGACCGATCAACTGTCAACACCGATGACATCCACCACTAACAAGCATCTCTACGCTGACTACCGGAAGTACCTTTGTAATACAATTATCCTCCCTGTGCAATTAGTTAATGGCCGTCCCTTATGAGTTCCTCGCGAAAAAGCAAACGCGATTTGACCTCGCGGACCGTGGATTTCCTCAACCGCGTCAACAGCGTCAACGACCACACCAGCGCGGACCCCCAGTCCAGAAGCAAACCACGCGTTCGGCGCTTACGATCGCAGCCTATCAACCGATTTGGTAGCAGGACGCCGCAAGTCCCACAGGGCGATGCTATTTGGGATATTCCCTCTGACTTTTCGGAGGAGGAGACACGACCAAGACGCAATGCACAGACCGAGCCCCGTTCTCTGAGACGATCCCAACGAGCTCGGAAGTCGGTTCAAGTGGAGGATACCCCGACCCGGACATCGCGGAGATTGGCGCGTGTCATTGAGGATAGGCATGAGCAAAGTAGCGAGGAGGATGATTCTGAAATGGAGGAATTGGATAAAATCATTGATAAGCAGTTAGGTGGCGCGAGGCTCATCCAGTCAGTGAACGAGAACAGAAGCGCAGACGTGAACCATGGATCTACCAGTGAGGAAAAGGGGGCACAAGAAGGTGAAAGCGACCGGGCTTCTGAGGAACCTGTGGAGTCGACCTCACCTTCGAAAAAGCTCGGAATTCAGAAATCTAAAACGACGGACGCACAGGAAGCCCAAGACGACGACCAGGAATGGGCGCCCGATACAGCAGCAAGTGAAGAGTTGGGAGAAGAAGACGACGAGAGAGGATCCGCCACTAACAGGCCGCCAGAGCCTACACATATCATCCAGACTCGGAGATTGACTCAGCAGCTGGCCTCGCCGCGAAAGACACGGAGACATACCCTTGCGGCTCCAGTAGCTGAGAAAGAGGTTGCCGAATCCTCAAGAAGGCTGAACAGAAGGTCGCTGCCGGGGCAGAATGGATTAAGAACGGGAAAGACTACTCGAGACGAGCAAGGGGATAGAACGGCAGAGCTATCAGAGGTATCTGAATCTGTGCAAGAGGAGTCTGATCCAGAAAGCTCATATGAACCGGAGGAGGAGGAAGAGGAAGAGGATGAAGCAGGGGCGATTCGACATGTACCCGACACGCAGCGGGAGGAACCGTCTATCACCGCGCGGCCAAGCAAGAGACGACGGACTGATGAGTATCAGCGCAACCCCCAAGTCGAGGTCTTACGCACACAACCAACGCCGTCGCCCGTGCATTCAAATCCATCGACTCCTGATGACCATGAGTGTCGCAGGAGCTCGCGTCATCCTTCGCAAAGTCCCGCTGTTGCCGTAAGGCCCATTAATGCAATCTCAGATGATGCACAAAACGAAGCTCTGGTGAGAAGTGTCAGAGACAATGCGGGGGATAAAGCGTGGTTTGCGGAGGCTTCCAACCTTGGACAACAAAAAGAAAACTGGGATCTTATAGTGACGGCAGCATCGGAGTTGAGAGAAAATATAGACCCCTCTCGAGCCGAGTCCTTCGGGACAATTGACAAACAATTATCTCAGCTACGTACACGATATACAAAGATCAACACGAACCTCAAATCTCAGCAGGGGCCTCTCCGAGAGAATCTGCGAGAGTGCGAAGACCTTCGCGAGGCCATCTTGGAAGAAGGGACCAGGATCCTTGACGGGGTCTACTATCTCTCTCTCAGGCAGGCAGAGTCGCATGAGCTGCTAAAACAGGCGCATCGGCTAGTTAAGCAGTTTGAAGCCCGGGTCTTTCCCACCATAATCAAAGTGATCCTTCTTTGCTTTGAAGGATACTACACCTGCCGGAAACTCTTTCCGTCGGCTTATAGACATCTTGCCGGGGCGATGAAGCTCCTTCTACGATTCTGCGACCGGATTGCCAGTCTGCGCACCGAGCGATATATACGGTGCAAGATACACAGTCGAACCATGCGCAAGCCGCTTCAAGAGTTGATCAAGGCCTTGGAAGGCAACTTGCTACAACGACGCATGAATGAGACCGACGGGGCCTCCAGAGGCGAGAAGAAGAGGGAGTGGACTGAGGATGAGAAGATTGCTCTGCTCGATGGATTGAAGCTGTTTCTGGGTGAGTTGCGGTTTCTGTTATTTTCATCACCAGTATCATCGTCAATGCTGATTCAAGCTGTGGTGGTGTCTTAGGCCAGGACCGCTACATTCGCATGGTCTGCCATTTTGGACAGAGACTGCGGCACCGGAGTCTACAGGAGCTTCAGACCAGAGCTCGAGAGATTCATGACCGGTTTGTCCCTCGAATTCAGGAGGAGCTCAGGACAGTAGGAGGGCGTCGACAGTGGCAATGGTTATTGAGTGTGAACGACGGTCAGCGTCCGATGTCTGTGGATTGATATGATTATTCTCTTGTCTTGTCTTTTTGGCTTTCGATACCCCTTTTTGTTATGTAGATATAGTTTCAACTCTCTCGGACCCATGGATCAATCCAGTCGACCGATCCACAGATTAGTTGTTTTGTTTTGATGCGGTCGGGCGCGTAGCAACAGAGGGAAGACGTTTCGACACGACCATGATGCTCTACAGAAGACAATCATACAGGAACAAATACTACTAATGATATAATTCATCAGCTGAAAGCAATCATCTCATCATCATTTACTGTATCTAGATAGACAAAGGTCCATCTGCTGATCACCGTTCGTGAGTCTCCGCCTTTTTCCCCCACTCCTCCTGCTAAAATCAAATAGTCGGCAAAAGGAAGGGAACTTTTGACTCTACTCTCTCCTACATCTGTCGTCTGGCTCTCTCTCTCATCCATTAATTGTCGCATGTCTCACTTGTCTGCTTCTCCTTTCCTGTCATAAAATTCTTTATATCCTCTTTAATCTTGCAATTCTTCTTCATTGATTCTTCTCTGGCTGTCTGTTTCTTTGTTTTGGTCGGGTTCTGTTGGCCAATCATACCCCCTACTGCCGACACCGTTCACCTCCAATTCTCTATCTACTAAGTAGAAGCTAAGGTACCTAAACGGCTTCATCCCTCCAGTTGGGCACTTGATCCCGTTTCCATCCCGCATTGGTCCGGAGAATCGTCAATCAGTGAGTTGTCATCTCCTTTCCTTTATGGCTGCCCTATAGGACCTCCGCCCGGATAGGGGGCCACACGTCCACCTCACATCGCAGCTGCCTCTACCTGCAGATCTCTTCGGGAAGCAATTCGCTAGCCGTGGTGAGGTGTCATTAGCTGATTGCTGCGTTGTCTGTCTGCAAAGCATCAATCCCTTCTGCACTGATGATCTTGCATGGATTCCCATAAATCGGTTGCTACTCTAGTATCTCTCAGAGCTAACAGACTTCACTCTAGGTGCGGTCACAGGCCTACCAACATCCATAATGGCTTCCACGGAAGAACCTGTCCCTGCTCCTGCCCCTGCGCCCGCTGATGCGCCCGCTTCGGCCGAAGTTGACGCTGAAATGGCACCCCCTGCTACTCCCGTCGACTCTACCATCCTGTCCGGCAGCGAGGGACCCGTTACAAGCCCCGATGCTTCTATCAGAGACAAGGAGAATATCAAGTCTTCGCCCGAAAAGACCACTACTACCACAAAGCGTCCGTTGTCTGGAACGGCAGCTGCCAAACGTCCGAGCACTGTTTCCGGCGCTACCAAGACCGCAGCGTCCACCGCGCGAGCTGCGGCCAACGGCAGTACGCTCAGCAAGCCCCCCACTCGTCCTACCACTTCCGGTACTGTCCGTAAACCGCTGAGCACTTCGACAACCGCCTCCCACCGGTCTCGCCCCTCGGTGAGCAGCTCCGCGGATGAGAAGACGAGGTCGGTCGCGAGCTCTGGCGACGAAAGGAGAGGAATCTCGGGCTCAGCTAAGCGCATGTCCTTGGTCGGCACTACTTCCTCCAGGGCCACACCGAAGACTACTACGTCCACTTTGGACCGTCGCTCGAGCATTGCCGGCACCACCGCATCAAGGAGCACGGCTACGCGTCCTGGTACCGCTTCATCGACTAAACCTGCCACGAAACCAACTGGCGTGTCCAGCACTTCCCGTACATCCAACAGCACGAGTACGACCGCGGCCCGACCGGCAACTCGACCCACGGCCACGACTACACGCCCTACTACGACGGCCTCGAAACGACTGAGCACCGCCATCAAGGTTTCCGATGATGAGGCGGAGAAGCTGCAGTCGCTGCAGAACAAGCTGTCCGAGAGTGAGGCTACTGTCGCCAGTCTCAAGGCAGAGCTAGAGACTGTGAATGAGAAGCTTTCTCAGCTGTCCGTATCTCAGGAGGGGGCATCCAAAGAAAACGACGATGCAGTCGCCAGCGCCCTGCGGGAGGAACACGCTGCCGAGACGGCAAAGCTGGCCGCTGAACATGCCGAGCAGCTCCATGCTCTGCAGGCTCAATTGGATGAGGCAGAGACCAAGCGCAAGGAGCTGGAAGAAAAGTCCCTGCAGGACCTGGACAATGCCGCTAAAGCAGCCGCTCAGGAAGGGGATGGCAAGACTACTGCCGCTCTTGAGGAGTTGAAGCAGTCCCACCAGTCACAGCTTGAGGCGCTGGAGAAGGAACTCGCTGAACAAAAAGCCATTGCGGCCGGTTACGCTGACCAGATTGCCGCTCTCCAGGCCCAACTCGAGTCGCAAAAGAATGGACTTGAGGAAGCCACGCAGAAGTTACAGGAGGAGAAGGCATTGGCCCTCGACAGCTTGGACCGGGAGCTCAAGGGGCGTGACCAGGTGATTGAGAACCTCAACATGGAGATGGAGAAATTGAACAGCGCCAAAGAACAGGAGGTTCGTGCGGCTGAAGAATCGGCCAAGCAATCTGTCTCCGCGCTGGAGGAGAAGGTCGCCGATCTAGAGGCCAAACTTGCCCAAGCTGAATCTGCCACGAGCCAAAGCAGTGAAGAGACTACTCTTCGGCTTGCCGAGAAGGACAAGGAGGTTACTGAGCTCAAGCAAGCCGTTGCCAAGTTGCAGGAAGAGCTTCAGGAGGCTCGCGAGGCTGCTGCCAAGGTATTGAAGGAGAAGATTGCTGAATTAGAGACCGCTCACGAGGCCTCAGTCGCCAAGCTCAAGGCTGAATACGAGGAGGCTCTGGCCTCGGCCGCCGCTGCCCATGCCCAGGAGTTGACTGTGGCGAAGCAGGTGGCTGAATCTGCCGGTTCCTTGCACTCTGAGGAGCTTCAAAAGCTGCGCGATGAATTGGATGCTGCCGAAGCCGCAGCGCAAAAAGGCAGGGAAGAAGCCATTGGTGAGCTCAACGCGGCACATCAAGCCGAGTTGAAAGCCCTTCAGGACAAGCTGAGCGCATCGGAGCAGGCGCTGGGTGAAGCCCGGCAAGCGCTGGAGGGTAGCGTCAGCTCGGCCCAGGCCGTCGCCGTCCAAGAGATCGAGTCGCTCAAGGAGAAGGTCGGCGCGTTGGAGTCGCAGCTATCCACCGGCCAGGGCGAGATCCAGTCTCTGGTGGAAGAGGTCCAGAGCAAACAGGCAGAAGCCGAAGCCTTGCACCAGAACCTCACTGATTTTGAAACCAAGCTCAGGGCCAAGGACGCCGAGAAGGATGAGCAGCTGAGGGATCTGAAAGAGAAGGCGGCTGCCTCGGAGAAGGCTCTTGAGGAGCAACTCAAGGAGGCGGTTGCCGTTGCCGAGAGACACGCACAAGCCTTGGAGGCGTTGAAGGCGGAGCACGCTGCGGCGCTCGAAAAGGCCAAGAGCGAGGCGGCTGGGTCCCATGAGAGTGCGCTGAGCGCGCTCCAGGCCAAGCATGACGAGCTGCTCGCGGCGAACCGGGATCTGGAAACGTCTCACGCTGAGAAGGTCGCAAATCTAGAGGCGGACCTGAAAACCACGTTGGAACGCCATGCGGGCGAGATCAGCTCGCAGACGGAGCTGCGCGAGAAGGAAATCGCGGATCTCCGAAAGGACTTTGAAGAGACCAAGTCCAAGCTCCTTGCGGAACTTGAGGCATCGCAGGCATCCAAGGCTGCCGAAGCTGATGCCGAGCACAGCAAGGCAATCGAACAGCTCCTCACTCTCCAGGAGGAGAAGCTGTCCAGCCTCCGGTCCGAACTCGAATCCTCCCACAAGGCCAAGCTGGACGAGCTGCAGAAGTTACATGACACCGCCCTCGCGGAGGTCCAGGAGCAGCTTGCGCAAGCCCGTGCTGCGATGCAAGACACCTCTCTGATTGATGGGCTGAGGGCGACAGTGGCCGATCTCGAGCAGAAGCTGATGGACGCGGACAAGGCCGTGGCTGCCAAGGAAGAGCTGGCAAACCAGCACAGCACCGCGCTGACCCAGCTGGAGGCGGAGAAGAAGGAGTTGGAGGCCCGCTATGTGGCGGTGACCAGCCAAGTGGACGAGTTGACCAAGTCGGCTGCCGCGTCGGAGAGCATCAAGACGGAGCTGGAGCGGGTCCTGAACCAGCTGTCTGCGTCGCAGGAGGAACTGTCGCAGCTGAAGACCAGTCACGAAGCGGTCAGCGGGGAGCTGGAGCAGTTCAAATCGCAGACGCGGACGATGGAGGAAAAGCTGTCGCAGGGCGAGAAGGACCTGAATGACCAGATCGAGCGCAACATGTCGCTGCTGGAACAACTGGGCGAGGTGGACTCGGCCATTTCGGCCAACCGCAAGCGCGTGCGTGAACTGGAGGCCGAACTGGCGGCGCTCAAGGCGGACAAGGACAGCGGCAAGGGCAACGTGGGGCTGGAGGGAAGCCGATGGGCGGCGGCGGAGGATGGGGCGAACACGAACAAGAGTGAAGAGAGTGGTCCGACAGCCGCTGCGGAAGGTGAGGACCTTGGATCATCCATAGAGGGAACGGTGGGAGACCCGTTGTTTACTCGGGGCATCCACCCGGGGTGTCCGTTCCCAGTGTTTGACGTGATACTAATGCGGTGGACCTAGATGGCAAGCATTCAGGAACAGCTTAAACATATCCGGACGGCCAACGATGACTGGTACGACGAACACCGCAGGTATGCACTCCCTCTCACTTTAGCTAGGAAGACATTGATCTAATGTTGTCTAGACTCATTGGCGAGCTCACTCAGCTATCGCGACGCACAACGCCGGACCGTCGGAGCCAGGCGTCGACGCCTCAGCTGGAACGACTGAGCAGCTTTGAGAGCCGCAGTGGGGAGCGATTGTCCTGAGTGCGGCGAGAGGACGTGGAGTGTGATTTCGGAAGGACTATTTCTTTTGTATTGATTGGTTGTATGTATGTAATACGATGCTCAGGATACCCTGTTCATACTTGATGCGAGCCGATGAAGAAGAGTCTAGTGTCTAAAATTTATCATTATTATTATTACTGTTATGATTCGCATGCGCAAGATGATTCGACGGATTGGGTATCATGATAAGCCAATGTAAGCCAATGTCCAGAGTCAAAGCCACCACCACCAAAGTTAAAGGATGCGTCAGTGAGACTCGCGCTGACGAATGCAAGTGAACCACGACCACAACCGGCGTTCTCGCAGCTGCTTCCTGGCTCGTTTCTTGTCGCTGGCCGCGTGGCGCATCTCAGCGTACAGCGACGGTGTGAGGATGTGAGGCGGCGGCGATAGCTCTAGTTCTAGTTCGGTGTCGGCTGAGGGTATAGCTCCCGGTGATGGTTCGGGTTCGGCGGGTAGTCCCAGTGCCCCCCGTTTCTCGTCAAGCGCACCTCCCTCATCCTCGGGATGTCCCTGTCCATGTCCATGTCCATGTCCACGGACAGAACCCTCGGAAATCATAGTCAGGTCCGCCTCGCCGTCCATCATCCACGTCCTGCGTTTCTGGTGGTAGAGGTGCTCGCCGGCGGACGTGAAAGCGCGACAATACGCCGCATAGGACTCGTTTAGATCGCGCTCGGCCTCGTATTCTTTGATTTTGCGATTGCGGTTGCGGCTGCGGTCATGTTCACGGCTGAGGTTAAGGTTGGACACGATTTTTTGGGCGTCATAGTCGGTGTAGTTTTCATCTGGAGTCAGAGCGTGAGTGGCGTTTAATCCCTGCTTGGAGATACGGCGGGAGAGCCAGACTGATAAGCGGCGGAGAGGGACGGATTTGCGTCTGGTGAGGGTGGTTTGGTGCTGGTGGTCGGTGTTGTAGAGGAGGAGAGAGGAGGCGGTTGAGGAGGTGATGGACGAGGTGTCTGGGAGGAGGATTTCAGGCATTTTTTGATCTGGGTTATGGGGTGCGGTGGTGGTATAGTGTAGGCATCTATATATTTGTAAATAGTCGCCTAGTAGGACTGTAGGAGACGAATGAGATGAGAATGAGAGAGTCAACGGTGAGTCAAGTCAACAATGGGAATGTATGCTGGTATTATGCTCAGTCCATGTCTAAGGTATTGATAGAGTAAGATAGTAAAGTATAATATAATATAATATAATAA